CCCTTCCTGCCCCAGCCCCTTCCTGCCCTGACCCCCTTCCTGCCCCAGCCCTCCTCCTGCACCGTGACCTCGTAGGTTCATCCTCCTTATCATCTTCATCCTCCTCCCCCTTTCTCCCTCTTCCTCCTCCTCCCTCCCCCTTCCTTCCCCTTCCTCCCTGTCCCCTTACTCCCTTTCCCTTTCCTCCTCTTCCCTTCCCCATCCTCCTCGTCTTCCTCCTCATCATCATCATCCTTATCCTCATCCTCTTCCTCCTCCTTCTTCTCCTCCTCACCCTTTTCCTCCTCCTCATCATCATCCTTATCCTCATCCTCTCCCTCCTCCTTCTTCTCCTCCTCACCCTTTTCCTCCTCCTCATCATCATCCTTATCCTCATCCTCTCCCTCCTCCTTCTTCTCCTCCTCACCCTTTTCCTCCTCCTCATCATCATCCTTATCCTCATCCTCTCCCTCCTCCTTCTTCTCCTCCTCACCCTTTTCCTCCTCCTCATCATCATCCTTATCCTCATCCTCTCCCTCCTCCTTCTTCTCCTCCTCACCCTTTTCCTCCTCCTCATCATCATCCTTATCCTCATCCTCTCCCTCCTCCTTCTTCTCCTCCTCACCCTTTTCCTCCTCCTCATCATCATCCTTATCCTCATCCTCTCCCTCCTCCTTCTTCTCCTCCTCACCCTTTTCCTCCTCCTCATCATCATCCTTATCCTCATCCTCTCCCTCCTCCTTCTTCTCCTCCTCACCCTTTTCCTCCTCCTCATCATCATCCTTATCCTCATCCTCTCCCTCCTCCTTCTTCTCCTCCTCACCCTTTTCCTCATTCTCTTCCTCCTCCTCCTCACCTCTTTCCTCCCTCTCTCTCTCCTTCCTCCCCCTTCTCCTCCCTCTCTCCCTGCTCCCCCGGCAGCTGTGGGACCATCACGGACACGGGCCCCGGCTCCACCAGCACCATCTGCTGCCGGGGGCAGCGCGGGCGCTACTTGACCCTGTGGGTGCCGGGGCGGCAGGAGCAGCTGAGCCTCTGCCAGGGGGAGGTGGTGGAACTGGGCTGCTCGGCACCCCACGGGGGTGAGTCACCCCAGACCCACTGCCCCGGGGGGGCACGGACACCCCTGGGTGCTGCCCTGGGATGGGGGTGCCCAGGGAGCACCCAGCAGGGAGGGAACTGGGAGCGCTGGTTGGGAACTGGTGGGACGCCAGCCAGCAGTGCGCCCAGGTGGGGCGTTCCCAGTGGCATCCTGGGTTGTACTGGGAATGGGGTGGCCAGAAGGAGCAGGGAGGTGATTCTCCCCCCATGTGTCTCAGCTCCAGTCCTGGGGGGCATTTCTGGGGCCCCCCTCACTGCAAGGAGGACATTGAGGTGCTGGGGCAGGTCCAGGGGAGGTGAGGATGGGGAAGGGACTGGAAGGAAAGTCTGACAGGGAACTGGGAAGGAACTGGGATTGTTCATCATGTGTCTCAGCTCCAGTCCTGGGGGGCATTTCTGGGGCCCCCCTCACTGCAAGGAGGACATTGAGGTGCTGGGGCAGGTCCAGGGGAGGTGAGGATGGGGAAGGGACTGGAAGGAAAGTCTGACAGGGAACTGGGAAGGAACTGGGATTGTTCATCCTGGAGAGGAGGAGGCTCAGGGGGGACCTTCCCACTCTCCAACCACCTGAAGGGAGGTTTATTCAGGTGGGGTTGGGCTCTTTTTCCAGGCAACCAGTGACAGGATGAGAGGGCCTGGCCTGAAGCTGCTCCAGGGGAGGTTTAGGTGGGATATCAGGAAGCACTTCCTCATGGAGAGGGTGATCAGACATTGGGATGGACTTCCCAGGGAAGTGTTGGAGTCACCATCCCTGGAGGTGTTCAAAGAAAGGCTGGAGGTGGCACTTGGTGCCATGGTCTGGAGATATGGGAGTGTCAGGTCACAGACTGGACTTGATGATCTGAAAGGTCTTTTCCAGCCTTGGTGATTCTGTGATTCCTGGAAGATCAGCTGTGATCAGGCCCAGTTGCACCCACAGCTCCCAGTCAGATTCCCTCTGGTGGCCTTTGTGGAGGGAAAGGAACGACAGAAAAGATTTTGGGGAACCCCAACCCAAAGGGTCCATCAGCATCCCTGGGAAATGCCTTTTCCTGGCTCCCAAAGAAGCAGTGGGTTTAGTTCCTGTCCTAAGGAGAAGCCCAATCCCAGCTCCAGGGATGTTCCTGGGCCAGATGGAGCTGAGCAAGGTCCCTCAGCCCCAGGGGGAGTGTGTGGCACGGGCAGGACCAGCCCTGGCACCAGGAGAGGCTTTGGCAGGGCTGGGGGGCTGTTGGGGCAGCCCCGGGCAGGGCTGGTGCCTCACAGGATGCTCCCTGCAGATGTTGGCAGATGTTAGGCTGGCCCTGCGTGGCTCTGGCTATTTACAGCTCCCCTGCTAGGAGACCAGCCCGTGTTTATCCTGGTGATTTGGCAAAGGCAGAGCGGCAGGGATGAGTCAGGAGCTGGGAGAAGCTGCTTTGCCACATTCCCATTGCCCCACTGCCAAGGTGTTCCCAAGAACGCCTTTCCTCAGCACGTGGGGCTGTGGGGCCCTGGTGCCTGGGCTGGGGAATCATCCCTGGGACTGGGGAACCATCCCTGGGATGGGGAATCATCCCTGGGACTGGGGAACCATCCCTGGGATGGGGAGAGTGATCCCTGGGACTGGGGAATGATCCCTGGGACTGGGGAATGATTCCTGGGATGGGGAGAGTGATCCCTGGTCTGGGGAATGATCCCTGGGACTGGGGAATGATTCCTGGGATGGGGAGAGTGATCCCTGGGCTGGGGAATGATCCCTGGGA